TTAGGTGAATCGATTCATCTCAGAATTCAGAAAAATTTCTCTATCCACGCTTCCCAAACCTTGGTTTGCTCGCCTCAGGCGAAAAGTAAAAAGCGGTGAGAGTAAGCAGTCAGGAGCTTTTCAGTTTTCTCACTAAAGCGAGTTTGAGCAACTTCAGTCACGCCGTCGTTAATATAAACTCTGGCAGACTGTCCGTGACTCCAACATCCACGGATCAAAATCAGATCCATTGCAAGGCCCTGGCGGTACAGTTCAGTTGCACCGCCTTGCCGGAGCGAGTAAGGCCGGTAGCCTAAAGAAGATACGTGAAAGAAAGTTAGATATCTGTCAAAAAGCGACCTGAAAGCTTAACCAGACCCGAGCCAAATAGGTGCATTTTCACCCCCTCGTACTTTTAAAAAGCAGCGCAAAATGGCACAGGCGTAGCTCTCTCGCACAACAATGTGCTCGTGCTTGTTCAAGCGGGAACCGGTTTTTGTGTTGGCGAGGAACACAAGGAAAGTTTCGTGGTGGAATGAGATGTCTGTACAGCGGAGACTAAGCAGCTCTCCAGTCCTTAACAGGCCACAGTAGCCGAGCACCAACAAGCACATAAATGAAAGATCCTCAAGTTCAAACGCTCGATTGAGCATCCCAAAAAGCAAGCGCCAGATTCCGAAAACTCTCCAGGAATGAACAAGACGCTTCTTTAAGATAGGAAGAAACAGTTGAAATGCACTAATGACATCACCTGCATGGCCCAGAGTTTCTCCGCTTCGCTCCAATGCACTGGGCTTGAGAAGCCCAGCAACTTTCTCCTGCCGGCTCTGCAAGGTGATCCCCATTCCATGAGGTCCGACCTCCGACAAATCCTCCTCGCGCCCTCTGCTGGTCTCCCTTCTCCCACTCATCAACTCTCGCCTCTGCTCCGCTCCTCCAGCCCGAGTTAGATCTCCCTTCAACTCTGCAAGGGCCGTGCTGAGGTCCACACCTTTTGGTCGTTGCATGATCCTCCTGGCTTCTCGGGCTGCATAGGAGCTCACCCTCTGCTGCCTCTCCTCCTGGGTCTCTCCTTCGACAGGCTCTGGAGGTTCCTCGTCCAGCATCTCCTCTCGCCATGGTGCCCTTTCCTTCGCCTCGGCCGCTTTCTCGCCTTCTCCTCGTCCTCGATGCTTCAAAGCCCCTTGGCGAACCTCTTCTTCTCTTTCTGCCTCTCTGGAGAGCATGCCTGCCCCTTCTTTCGCTACCTCGCTCACGTCCAAGCCCAAGATCTCGTGACATAGTGTTTGCCACCTCTTCCAACCTGTCTGACCCACGTCCTGCCGTGGCAAATCCTCGGCCTTGATGATCTTCACCTCGCTCACGTGCCCCAGGAAGTTGCCCGGAATCTGACACCTCTCCTCCATGCATAGGTGAATCTCGTCCAGGACTTTGGTCAACTGAGTGAGCCGCCTCGAAACTTTTGAGTCCTTCACTCCAAGGCATGCTACACTTGCCGTCCAAGAGGTGTCGCTGTTCATCCATGCCTCCTTGATGAAGAACGGGGCATACACCTTTGTCTGATCTACCATGACGTGGCAGTAGAGGATCATCCCCTTCTGCAGCCTCAGTGTGCTCCATTTCTCGAAGTCACCAATAGAGCACTCACCATAGGAAAGCTCAGCCTCTGCGCCGCCTCCTCTCTCTCCCATCATTCTCCCGCCTTGATCTCTTTCTCGTCTTCTCCTCTCTGACCTCCTCTGCTTGGCTAGTGAGCCAGGTTCAACTCCACTCTGCCTGTCACCACCTCGGCTGGTCCTGTCACGACTCGCTGCACCAAGCTCTGACCTCCGATTCGAAGAAAGGCCTAAAGTTGAATCTGGAACCCTTCCTCCTCGAGCGTCTTCTCGTTCAGCTGCAAGGTGTGCCTCGTCCCTCAACTGTTCGATATTCTTTGGCACACCTTCTAGTAGGCTGATGCACAGTGCAGCTTCCAGCCTCGAATGTGGAGTGAACCTGAGCTCTCCTGCCAAGCGCCTAAGAGCTAAGCAGCCTCGGCAAAGCCCAGGCTGCTCCACAAAGAACTGCCTCCCGCAGCTCGTGCACGCCACCATAGGAGGCGGCACCCGTAAACCCAGCTTGGAACCAAATATTTCCACAACACAGCATGATCAACCGTTTCAAGAGAAAAGTTCACCGAACCACCAATATACATATATGTATGCATACTGACATACTGACTATACTTACGGACTGAAACTTAGAATGGGTGAAAATTCCACGCCTATTTTCCTATTAGAGTTGGAATGGGTTGGGGCCTGCTGCCGTAATCGAGTGTTAGAATGCCGCACAATGATGAAATACAATCATATCAAAAGAAGTGTTCTAAACCATCCGTTCTCATCCAATCGGAGTCTTTTTTCCCCACGCACTTTGCAGATGTTGTATTCCTGTGTGCCTTCAAGCCAACATTCAAATTGAGCCTCTTCAAGCACGTCCTTTTTTAGGACTGGAAGAACACCTTCCGTGCCACGAAGCACTCAAGTTGACACGAGCATGCATATTTGACGATCTGAGCGCTTGCATTCAACAGGAGTTTATACTTGTACACATGTGAAGAGTGAAAAGCAGTGGACACATGAAGAATGGACAAAGATAGAATGCGTGTATATTATATACGTTGATACTATATGTATATATATACACACATATTAAATATAATGAGAAAAACAATCACTTACTGTATATAGTTCTTGAATGGGGCACATTCTAACTTGAGGACACCTTGCATCAACAAGCACAAAAGAAACTGAACAAATATGAGAAGGAAACCTCAGATCGTAGAAGCTAGAAATCAAGGGTTGCTTCTGCCTTGATGATTTTCTCAAGCTGAGACTGCCATAGCCTGTCCTTCTTCTGAAGTTGGCAATGGTGCTCAACGATCCCACGAATTGCTTTCAAACAAGCCTCAGCTGGAGTGCGCTTCGTAGATGGACCCCATGTGAAGCTCATTCCTGACTTCGCACTAGGGTAGAAGCCCTGCCAGGTCCGAGAAGAGGCATGGCAGCCAATGTAGATTCCCTTCCCAACTGGCAGCATTGTCAAGCCCAAGCCCTCCAGCTTCAACCATTCCTCTCGGTGCATAAAGCTCTTGACCCTGCTGACAGGGGCAGAGATGGCACGGCCTACCAAATCAGCCAAGTCTTCTTCATCGCTTGAATCGGCTAAGATTTCCTGCGCATCTTGGTCCTGCATGTCAGCCTTCAAAAGTGCTTCTTGTTGCTGCATTTCACCATCCTCACACCCCTGTTGGTCCAAATCATCGGCTTGGTCTTGATCTTCCTCTTCCACCAATGCCCCTTCAGCAGCAGCCTCCCTCAACAAAGCCTCTGGGATCTTGTGATCAAGAAAGTCCGGTAACTGCGGATTAGCGACCTCTGTCATGCTGAGTACCACAAGTCGTCTTACCGCCCCATCTCCAGCCTTGATGAAAACCATCTCATCGTCCAGGCAGAAATTGATCTGGACGGAGAAAACATCTTCCTCAAGATGCTTGAGATTTGCATTCTTCCTGGTCCTCTTGATTTCTTTTTCCTTTTCTCTGGAAAACAGAAATTGAGCTTCCTGGCCATGTGCCAACCAGTGGTTGTAATCCTGCTGCTTTGCCTTTGTCAGCGCTTGGTTCTCCATTCTTTCAATTCTTTCTGTCCAAACTGCCTTCGTTTCAGACCACTTTGCAACTGCTCGCTGAACAGGGTCCGCTATCCAAACTGGTAGTAGCTGCCGGGTGCTTGCATCATTGTCAGTTTGGATTGCCCATACAAAGTGCTCTTCACCAGGAAGTGGCTGTTTGCGCATCTGCTTGATTCTTTCTAAGCTGAGCTCATCGGACGTCATGCTGGGCAGAACCGCAAGCCTTGTGAAAGCTTTCATTGTCTGGGTGTCATGAAGCACCTCTTGTGCCTTCTGGATGTTTCCTGAGCTCAGAATGGGAAGTCATACACGGGAAGGGAACAGGTCAGAAACGGGAACGGGAAAAACTACAATGGGAAACGGGCACGGGAAAGGTCATAAAGTGGACAAACAAAAGTTCATGAACGGGAGAAGCAACGGGAGAGAAAGTAGTCATATACGTGTATATATATATACATATATATATATAAGGAAATTGGTATTGCTCTTCAAGCTGAGATGCCATCAAAGCGCCATCGTGCAATGTCTTCCACCGAACAGTACCCGCGTGATACCCAGGAATACCAGATCAGCTTTCCATGCCTTGGTATGATACCCATTCCAAGTTTCAGTTGTCCGGATATATGCAGCTAAGAATGCACAGGCCTACACACAAAGCATGCAAGAAAAAGGATAGGATCTTTCCGACTCTGTGCACAACAAGCTACTGCATCTCATTCAAGGACTTCACAGCATAAGCATCAGCACGTAGAGCTGTCATGATGTCGACCCTCGATTGCGGTAACTCTTGACACTTATATAGACTTAGAATGCCCAAACTTTACAATGTTAATGTTGACTCTAATTTCAGATATTGTCTTGCACGCTATGTAAAGCCTCAAACTAGCTCGGCTTCACCACTGTATACATATATATATATATGTATATTGATACTCTATATATAACTTAACACAATTGATCAGGCAAAAGCTCAAGTAGGCAAGGCACTTTGTAGAAACTGAGCCTTGGATTCCAATTTGGAGCTCGTCGAGCGAGCGTCGCAAAGCAAGACTTGAGCTCCAACCTACACTCGTGGCCATGTATGCCTGAACCAAAACGTGGAGATGCTGATGATATCCATCGTTGGGGCCACCATTGGCCCCAAAGCCGCCTGGTACTTGACATACCACACTGTCGCCAGTCAACATTTCCTCACTGAATTTGAGATTCCCGGGATGACATGCACGCACATAAAACACACTAGATCACACTAGTATTTCCATGCACTCGCTTTTCTGCAGAGAACCCACGAAAGACTTAGAATGCATGCCTTTTAGAAGAAACTCAAAAGATACCAAGAAGACAATAAAAGCCATGCCCATTCTAAGAGGCTAGGAGCGACGTTAAACTGCTTGGCCCATGCATCCTTGAGAATGACGAACTTCTTGGAACTGTGCTGACATGCAGAATCGCATATCAAAAGTGCCCTGTCTTCCAGCGTAAGGCCTAAACGGCGTCTTCTTTCACGCAACTCTTCTCCAAAAAACTGGAGGTAACTCAACATGGTCTCTGCGCTCCAAATGTGCGTCTTGGAGTGTAGGGGGCCAACCTCCAACCATTCTTCCAGCTCCTGTCTCAACATCAAAGGGTCGATATACACATAAATGTATATATATATACATATATTAACATAGCATGTAGACACACACGCACACAACATATATGTATATATATATATGTATATCGTATAAGTATACAGTGTATATACTGACGGACTGAATCTTAGAATGCTCCCTCCACCAACACGCCCCAAACGCCTGTACATTGTGAGGATGCTAGTCCGATTTGCTAGTCCGATTTGCCGGATGATTTCAACACCACAGAAAAAGGCCCACAATCCACCGCACATAGTGGGAAATTTAGCACTTAGAATGCGAATAGTAACTATATATATATAATCAAAGTGTCAGTCCGTAGGTAAAACTCTTCCTTTTGACTCCTATTGACTCCTTTTGGTTCCTATTGATGTCCTTTCGATTCCTATTGATTTCCTTTTGCTTCCTATTGATTTCCTTTTGACTCCCTTTGATTTCCTTTTGATCATTGATTTCCTTTTGGTTCCTATTGAAATCCTTTTGGTTGCCTATAAATTTCAATGTCGCATTCTAACTCCTAGTCCGGAAGTATATAGAGGAAAGGGAAAAAGGGAAAGCGAAACCGGTGGCCCTACCTCGTTGATCTGGATCCTCTGCTTTTCGCTAAGGCAGTTATCTCTACAAGTAATGAAGGATCTGCCAGCGGTTCCATCAATCCAGGACAGCGTTGTCACTGTCCGCGGCATCCGCCAAAGGTCTACAACGCCAGTGGCTGCCTTCCCACCTTGAAGTGTTGGTGGTGCAGGATCAGTGTCTGTTGAGGCACTTGCCTCTGTGAACGGCAAGCCCAAAACCCGCTCCAGTCGATGTCGGATTCTCCTCTTGCAAGTGCTTCTACTATGCTCATCATAAGCTCCCTTGTGCTGTAGAATGCTCTTCCGAGGCCTGTATTGAACTGACCAAACCTGGTCGAAGTTGGCGATCAATTGCGGACTGATGTTCTTCTTCTTGACCTCCATAGTTATCCAAGTGCGGAGATACTGGAGTGATGGGTGGGAAGACTCTAGATGCTTCCCTGGCTTGGGATTGGTGCCAGGAATGATGCCAGATTTGCGGCAAAGGCGTTGTGCACATTTCCTGAGATGTCTGAAAACAACTGCCTTGAGCATAAGTTCATTGGAGAATAGCTTTGCAAATCTTAAACAAACATAAACATATATATATAAATATGTATATATCTATATATATACACACAACAGCACAGCAAAAGACTTTCGGGTCAAAATCAACAAAAGGACCACGCATTCTAACATTGGCTCACAATATCTGATTTCACTGTGACCGGAATGCATGTTTTTGGCTCATCTTCGTTATAGTGTGACAGTGTGAGGCCTCTATATAAAAGCATAAATTGTATTTTGGCAAACATTTTCTGTATATATATATATGTGTACGGGACCAAAAGCGTAGCCTTAAACAAATAAGACAGGATGCAAAAAGTTTCCATCGGTCCGCTTCAAGTGGATCTCCCGCAGATTCACGTTCACTGCTTCCTGCTGTCATTTTGAACAACACCCCTGCCCCCAACCTCGCGTTTTTGGATGGACTTTGCTGGCATTCTAAGTCTCCGTTTTTCTAATGTTAGAATGCAACGTCCAGGCCTGAACCTCCGCAATGGACTCCGCCAATTCCGCTTCACTTTGCTTTTCTGCCTTTTGGTCGTTCAAAGCGCGCAAAATGACTTCAACTTCGGACACTTCCTCTTTCAACTTTTGAACTGCATGGTTCCAAAGCTCTATGGAGGTTGCCAGAATGTCCATGACCAATGGGTAGACCACTTCCTCCCCCAAGTTGATCCGCTCAACCTGGGTTTGTATATGATTGTGTATTAAACAATGCATATATATATATATATACAGTACTTACATAATGTGAATATGCTTGAATAAAAGTGTGTAAAAACTTAAAGCACCTTCAAATGAGTCGCAATTGTCTCAGCCATGACCTCTTCAAATGCCGGTGGAAGCGTACAAGTCTGGGGCTGTTCAGAAACGCCTGGATCTCGCCATGCAAATTTGAGCTTCTTCCCCATCATCTTTCTCAAAATGTTTGGCAGTTCCTTGTATTTTCTGGCCAAGTCTGGTGCCGTTGAGCACACCAGAGACCACTGGTCTCGCGCTCTTGTTTTGCACCATTTGTACGCACAGCACCTGTACACGCCCTTCATGTCATCGATGGCCGCATGCGGCGTTGGATTCCCTGCCGCTTTTTCTTCCTCAAATTTCTTCATCCTGAGAGTTGAAAACCACATGGGGCCAGGTCAAAAGGTGTCTGATACTCTCATGAAAGCTTTATGGTAGGCCAATGTCAGTAGTCCTACAGTTAGAATGTGGTCCAGGCATCACCAAAATGCTGCTCTTTATTACCCCTCCGCTGATGTCAAGACAAGTCAAAACCAAAGCTGGCAATGCCCTGAGTGGCTGACGCAATCTCTTTGTCCCAGATTGATGCGACCGCTTTCTTGCCTTTGGCATTCTTTCTGCTGTCCTTCCCGGCGACCTTCCTCTTGTAGGTCCTCTTCGGCTTTTTCACAACCTTCTTCTGTCGTGTCTTCACGTTGTCATTGTTTCTCACCTTCTGGCACTTGGTCTTGCATGATGCTGAGTCTCTGGTTGTCCTTGATCTCTTGATCGATGGTGGAGGTCCATACTCTGGTGCGGGTCGCTTCTTCACAATTCTGAGAAGCGGCTTCCCTGCTTCACTTGTTCGATGGTCGGGCAAGGCTTTCGATATTGATCTCCATGACCCAGGGGCTATGATCATTGAAGCCAAAAAACTTGCTTGGCATACCGTTGAGGACATGGCGTTGCCTGCTAAATCTTTTGCAAGCTTTGGATTGGCCAGGAGATGGTCATAGGTTTCCTGCCGGAAACAAGTCTTCCAAAGCCCTTGCCCATTCAAATGCTCGCCTGCAGTAAGGTATCTCTTAAGCCTTGTGCTGTACACGGGATGACTTGGGGTCAAGCAAGGTGCGACAAACTGAGCATGGACCATTCTCCGCAGGCTAGCGTTGCAGTCAACGTAAACGTCATCCCCTCCAAGATGACCAGCTCTTGCTCTTCTAACAAGTTCTTCATGCCGACCTGAATCAGGAGCCTGCTCAGCCACTTCCACACCGGGAGACTCCAAAGCAATTCTGCAAGAAGATCGCATGGTATCCAGAACAGTCTCAAATCTTTGTTGCAGCTCCTGCTGAGAAACATCTCCTGCATTGGTGGGCGCTATACCCCAAACGCGAGTCCGACGTTGTGGAAGAAGGTAGTCTTGACTGTCAACCAGCTTCCAAGCCTTAGATCCCCGAAGTCAGGAGACCAACCAAAGGTGTTTTTGCTTGAAGTCAATCATTGTTCATGAACCATAACCAAAGACATTCAATATATATATATATACAACCCCTGCAACTTTGATTGCCGCGAATGGAAAAAGCAATGACATCCTCGACTCGATAGCTTCGCGCGATTGCACACGTTCTTCTTATAATGCTTCAGTCTACCCTTACCATTATGCCTGGTGTCCATTTCGCCATCGCGCCCAGTGTCCAGTCCACTATATCGGATTGCAAAAATGCGGTTCCATGAAGATCCACCGGCCTCAAAAGTATCTTTAAACAGGGTCGGGTCGACACGCTTTGCAGAATCACCATGACCGGGTGAAAATTGATCGAAGGCCTTTGGTTTCTTGAGATATTGGGGGGCTTGGTACTGCTACATATACACAACTTGAAAGATGTTTTCGTGGAAGAAGGGTTCCAGCTCATACCACTTCATACTGAAAACCTCTTATCATACTTTTGTATGGATCCAACTCAGATACCATTGGTAATCATTGGTAAGGTATGAAACTTCGTGAGTTAGAATGCCCCCCGTTTGTGAAAGCCCCAGATCCCGACCTACCATCACTTCCTCTCCACCGCTATCTCAGGGTTCCTGTTCCACTCTTGTGTGAACAAGACAATGTTGTCAAACATGGTATATATAATACCTTTGGTAAGAGGGTGAAACCCCGTGTGTTAGAATGCCCCCCATCTGTGAAAGTTCCAATTCCCCACCTACCATCGCTTCCTCTCCACCGCTATCTCCCCAGAAGGGTTCTGGGGCATGGTTCCGGAGCAGGTTCTGGAGGAGGCTGCGGAAGTGGCCCAAAACCCTAGCTCCAACCACGGCTTGCATGCTGCGAACCTCTCCTCTCCTCCGTCCCTCCTTACCTCGCTTGCTGCTCTCGCTCTCCTCACCTTCCTCTCCTCACCTTCCTTTCCTCACGTCGCTCCTCCCATGTTCAGTTCATCCTTTTCAGGATTGCGACAACTCGTGCATTGCAATTGCTAAAGAACATCGTTGTGTCTTTCACGGTGTTTCTTTTCTTGTGTCAGCCTCAGTCCGTCCGACGCACGCCCAGTCTATGTCTCTGTCTCCTCCAACGTCCTCCCTGACTCTCTGGTGAACCTAAACGGTGGCACGGTGTCTTTGCGTTAATTTCCTAAAGTGCCTTTGACCTTCATATTCGCACCCGTCCCGTTTTCATTTTGCTCAATGAAACCAGCATAGACCCCAAACAGCTTCAAAATTTAAAGTATATATATAAAAACGATTTCTTGGTACGCCCTACAGGCACACCATGGGCACAACACAAAACATGTGTTATAGATCAATACAACCTATGCTCATATAGACATCCCTGTGGAGTGCAGTTCTGCAAGGGCACACGGTTTCGAGTCGACTTTACACAAGCTGAGTCGACTTAACGCTAGTACCTAGTACCTAAATATATCAAGGAACAACGCATGTCCATACATACATGCATACATACCGTTGATTTGTGTGTTAGAATGCGCTTTATTCTAGCTCATGCGGCTCATGTGAATTGCTCCACAAACCTCGCTGCAAGAGCTGGCCCGATCACCTGGCTCAACCTAAAAAGCTCCAGCCGCCTGGCTCGACCAGGGCTTGCGTGCACCTCTCCTATCCTTCCTCAACGTCATCCAGACGGATTCGGCAAAAGCGCATCGTAGGTTGGTGGCTGTTTTGTCAGAACATGATGGCCTTGCGGCTCTGGCATTCCTTTTTGAACACCCTGTCCACGTTGCAGTCAACGGTCCAGAAGTCCAGTGTCCAGCTTACCATTTCACAATTTATATATATCCATATATATATATATATATAATCGTCTCAAACCGTCTCCCCCAAAGCCCTCCCCTCAACCATCACAGCCCTGGTGTCTCTCCAACCCCAAGCTCTAACCCAGGCTCCAGGGTATCGGACCATCGGATCAGCAGACCATCGGATCATCGGACCATCGGATCAGCAGACCATCGGACCATCGGATCAGCAGACCATCGGATCATTGGATCAGCAGACCATCGGACCATCGGATCAGCAGACCATCGGACCATCGGATCAGCAGACCATCGGATCATCGGACCATCGGATCAGCAGACCATCGGACCATCAGATCATCGGATCAGCAGACCATCGGACCATCGGATCAGCAGACCATCGGACCATCGGACAATCGGATCAGCAGACCATCGGACCATCGGATCAGCAGACCATCGGAC